TCTCTCTTGTGAAACAGTTTCAGTTTGAGTTGGAGAGGTTGTTGAGTTTGTTGCCATTGCTGAGTACAGAACTTTCGACCTACTACCGGCGCTACGAGTGCCAAGTAGACTATAGTTAACAATCATCTACCTATCTGACATCTATGGTACTCACGTAACTGTGCACCGGATTCTAAGGCCGTTCACGCCTTAGAAATAATAGTAGATCGCAGAGGCCTAGATCTCCAGACCAGGAAAGAACCTACGCGTGGTTATAAAGCCTGGTTGACAAAGCACTGAAGACATATACCTTTTGAAGATCTCAGCTCCTATCCGGTAACGTCACTGGACTCTCTTTGGAGGTTTAGAACTTCCTCGGCCTTCTGCGCTGCTCTGTTGAACCGTTTCGTGCACAACGAGAGCCCAGAGACATTCGCAAAAATAATAATCAGTGAGTGTGGCCTCGGCCGAACAATTAACGGCTGCTGACAAACTGCGTTGTGAGCTAGAGGAGAGGTAGCATTTTCGCTTCCTACCAACCGCTTTCGAACCAACCGAAAGACACACCATTCGATGCAGTTTCTCGCGCTGAATTCGAAATGTGAATTCGAAACTTTGCTCTAAAAGCGCTTGGGCAGTTAGAAAAATAAGAAAAACCTTTGAAAACCAGGGTTTTTTGAAAATCTTATATCTCAGTCTAGAAATATTCGTGCATTTTTGTGCATCTATAGTAGACGCGTCATATAGAACACAATTATCTCTGAAAGTTTTAACAAAATTGGAGCTGTGGGAAAATGTGAACTCTACTTTACTGAAGACGCCTTTTGAAGACGCCTGTAGTGCAGAAAGGAGAATTATTTTTTCAACTGGAAAAAAGAAAAAACAAAATTTTTTTACGAGTCGGTAGAGCAGATGTTTTACTTTCAGAATATAAACATTTTGTTAGTCCAGTATTCCTATCTTCTCTGAAAAAATGAATTTTTTTCCGAAGTCGCTGAAAAACGGCTGAAAGCGTCCTTAGTTGGTGACAAAGGTTTTGCAGTAAAGTAAGAAACCGAAACAAAATCTTCCGCTTTATTTAATCGGCCATGAGCCATAGTATACTCTACATTAGTCAAACCACCAAAAATCTCACTTTCATTTTTTCACCTAATGTTCACGTTGTTGCCCACGTTGTTGAAATGAGATAGAGAACAAGCGAGTTTTTCAGAAGATCTTTGGAAAACTAGCTTGAGTTTTTCGAAAATCACATAGAAATGTATTGATTTTTTTTCATGGGCTGATAGCCCGGGATGTTCTCTTCAAAATGGGAGTAAAGTGAAACCTTGATTTTCTGCGGTTCGGGCGTTGTATCGACTTTCCAACAAGTCCAAGGACTGGCACCCGGTGATTCTTGGTAGTCCTAACGACGGATCGACTATGGATAATTCACTATTCACTCAAAAAACATCAGAACAAGCTCAAAATCTCAGGATATGATTAATGGTTTCCGCTAAGCGTGATTATAAGATTGGGAAATCGAAAAGCATAGTTTTGTTAATTTCCAGAAACCCTTTTGGAAAACCTTAGAATATTGATTAATTTATTTAAAGATGTCCTATAAACAGGATATAGAATAGCTTAAACACTCTACATTCAGAAGTTTTAAACTCGTTCTGATGTTTTTTGAGTGAATACTGAATTTTTTAATGTTAGGTAAAAACAGCCAGAAAATCCTAATTTTCGAAAAACTGGCCTTTCGGTAGATTTTTAAAACTTTTTTTAAAAGCAAATATTGCCACGAGACTCAACATGGTCAATTATCCATAGTCGATCCGTCGTTAGGACTACCAAGAGTCACCGGGTGCCAGTCCTTGGACTTGTTGGAAAGTCGATACAACGCCCGAACCGCAGAAAATCAAGGTTTCACTTTACTCCCATTTTGAAGAGAACATCCCGGGCTATCAGCCCATGAAAAAAAATCAATACATTTCTATGTGATTTTCGGAAAACCCAAGCTAGTTTTACAAAGATCTTCTGAAAAACTCGCTTGAAAAGCTTTTTCAAAATTCGCTTTTGCTTACAGAAATAAGTGGTCAGGTATCTAGTTATCAAAACTGTAAACCGCAGTTATCTATCTCATTTCTGCGAAACGTTATTCGAAAAATATCCGAGAACACTGTATTTTGGACCGCATAGTAGTTCTATTTATAAATAAAACCATTTTATTTATCGATTTATAATAGTTTAAGACATATCTGAAATATTCAAAATGAGAAATATTTTCTGTTTAAGTTAATTGAGACTTCTTCTGACTTAGACAATCACTTCAGTTTCCCGTAAGAGTTTTTGATTTTTTTGATCGTGGCGTCCATGGAAAGCCGCAGAGACCACTTCTCAGTCCATATGAACCCCAAGTATTTAAACCACTTTATTTGCTCAAGAGAAAACCCGTTCATAAACAGTGAAATCGTTGGTCTCACCACTTGCTTATGGAAGATCTGAAAAACCGTTTTATTGTAGTTAATAGGTTGCTCATGCATGACTGCGTGATTTACAATTCTTTCTCAAACTCTATTTCCTTCTTCAAAAAATTTCTGAACAAAACATTCTAAACAAAGCTGATTAAACGAATATTAACTGACAATTTAGAAAAATTGAAAGATTGTAGGTAAGATAAGTAAAAATGTGGAAAAAAAGGTCCACAGTTTACAAAAAAGCATATTCAAAATCGATAATAAGACTAACATCGCCTTATACATAGTGAAATAGTTAACTTCACTATGTATAAGGTGATGTTAGTCTTATTATTGATTATAGAAACTGATATCCGTATCGTACAGTCCTGTTTAACCGTTGCACAGAATACGCATGTCAAAACTGATATCCGCTTTATAAATCCATTGATAGATCCATGAAAATAACTTCGCCAGAGGCATTTTTTGTGAAAAACCGGTTTTTCGCCTATTACCAGCTAAAATTAAAATCCTTATATCTCGCTCAAATCTCACGCTAAATCAAGTTTTTCAGAAGAAATTTTCAGAAAACGATCAGGACAGGTCACAAATCTTAGTTAAAGACGGAAAAGGTGAAATTTCAGCTGGGCATTCGTTTCAGGTTTTCCAGAAACCTTCTGAAAAACTCCAAAGGCTTAGTGTTCTGCTGGAACACTTTTTCGGCTTGATAACAATATACGGCGCCTTATAAGTCTTCTCTGAAAATTTCCTTGATTTAGCGTGAGATTTGAGCGAGATATAAGGATTTTAATTTTAGCTGGTAATAGGCGAAAAACCGGTTTTTCACAAAAAATGCCTCTGGCGAAGTTATTTTCATTCCTACACAAAAACAAATGTTGCCACTATGCTCAGCGTAGTCGATTACCTATATTCCATGGCATTTTCAGGTTCCCAGAGATCTCTACTCGGAGACAGACACGTGGTCGGGGAAAGCAAGCCCTGTCCGAACGACCATAGCTGGAGAGCTGGGACTTGCATAATCTTGTAGAGTAACGTCCGGAATACCTATACATGCAGTAAAACTACTAACATTCTATGTTAGTTTTCTGAGAACGGTACTGATGATCGTTTTTTCATATATTCGACATTATAGGATCTATGACATGTTGATATATAGTGTAAGATCTTTTAATAATGTAATAGTCAATATTTGGTCTAATTGCACTCATTGATGCAGTTTTTTACGGGCTTCAATTTGGTATAAAGTACTTAGTAAAATCATTTGACCTTAAGGTCGAACCAGGGGGCGTAAAGGTTTTGCAACACCCTGTATATCTGATTTTACTCATGATCGGTTCAAATTTGTAGAGACATTCCTACTGTTTCCAGTCGTACACATGTATAAAAATCAGATTTAATAAGTCAACCTTTTTTCCGAATAGGCTTCATTGGTATATCATTGGAATAATGTTTGACAAATGTCTTTTGGATTTGCCGTTTTTTCCTCATCTTAGATAATATTATGTTCTTCGTATAGTACTGCCGCTATCAGTGAACTGCTCATGTTACGCACGCTTTGCTCTGATCTGATTTTTCCACCGAGTTTGACAGCAATGTCGAAATATAGCTTTATCTCATAAACTATCGTTGTCAGTATCCTCAATACTAATGTGACTAAAGTGCATATTATTTGACATCGAAATCATATGCATCAACGATTACCAACTAGAAATGATCATTGTGCACAAGCACATAGAATTCATCAATATCCCAATTACAGCCTTACTCTATTGTTTGATATATTGGAATATTTGATATATTTGAATATCTAAGAAATTATCTTGGTGACCTTCATCAACTTACAACATATGCAGTACAACAATATAAGTGAGTAGTAGAGAAATGAAAACATATTGTTCCAAAGAAACAAAATCATTTTTATGATATTGTTATTATAGCAATTATCATTTGTAATACAAACGTTTTTATGTTCGATTACTATGTTTGTAATTCCTTTTCAACTACATGCGCCAGACTCTCTATCACTGTTATAATTGTTATGCTATTTTGTCTTTCGTTTTTTAATAATGATGATTAGAAACAAAATTATTTCTTTTCTCTTCTAAAAACATTAGCAATAACAACATCATAAAAGCAATCTTGACTATGTTTCGATTCTTCTATTGAAATGATCCGACAAAAGAATGTAACAGCTGGTAAAAGTACTATCTGAAAATAAAAAGTGCACCCACGCAACTTTTGAGGTTGTCTGTTACAGTCTAAGAAACATCAATGGATTTATAAAGCGGATATCAGTTTTGACATGCGTATTCTGTGCAACGGTTAAACAGGACTGTACGATACGGATATCAGTTTCTATAATCAATAATAAGACTAACATCACCTTATACATAGTGAAGTTAACTATTTCACTATGTATAAGGCGATGTTAGTCTTATTATCGATTTTGAATATGCTTTTTTGTAAACTGTGGACCTTTTTTTCCACATTTTTACTTATCTTACCTACAATCTTTCAATTTTTCTAAATTGTCAGTTAATATTCGTTTAATCAGCTTTGTTTAGAATGTTTTGCCATCGTTGTCAGCGTCCTCAACATCAATATGGCTCAATTGAATATCATCTGAACTCATTTCAGTTGTGCTTTTTGCTCATGGACGAACTGAAATCGACTTCGCATCAACATCCAACGTTGTTTACATATCCTGCAAATGCCACGTTAAAAGTAATTCTGTCACAACATAAGTTTATTCGCTCTGCAGTAAAACACTTTTCAACGAGAAAAATATCAATAGAAAGTACCATTGCTCATTTTGAAGTAGATGGGAAAGTTGTGGACGAAAACACTCTGTTCTCATCGGTCGATAACGTACCAACTTTAACATTAGTTCTTCCGTCCCCTGGTATTAAATTATCTTTTCATAAAACAAGAGATGTTTCACCTGATCCAGTAATGTTAGCGAAACATAGGCAACATATGGATCAACGATTACCAACTAACAATGGTCATCGTATAAAAGCACATAAAATTCATCGATATCCCAATAGTAGCCTTGATCTATTGTTTGATACATTGGATGGGCAATTAACCTACATATTTAGATATCTAAGAAGTCATATTGGTGAAATACATCCATTTACAACATATGCAGTACAACAATACATGGACAATGATAAAGAAAAGAAAAAATGGGAACAATGGGAAACAGGAATTTATAAAATGGTTGGGGATGCAGATGGAACTATTCATATTGCAGTTGCCTCAGATTGGTAAGCTTACTGTTGAGCTTTTCCTGGAGATATTTCAAGGATATCAGCGTTATAGTAAGATCATCTGCTGAAGTAATCTTTTAATCTAAGAGAAATGTCTTTTTTGTGACCTTACTAGTAGAGATCTGCACGAACAAGGGAATTCCCGTGTCTCGGACATGCCACGTACTGCCCCCGGACATGGGTGGTCAACTGCTCTCTTCGACAGGCACTGGCTTTTCAAAATAATGCCACCTCGTCTGTGACGCATAAGAGAGAAAAAGAATGTTTTTTCTGCATAGGCAGCGAAAAAATTCCAAGGAAGGGTACGGACAAGCACTCTCGGTAGAGCTACGGGCACGAACGAGCAAAATAATTTTGCCTGTGCAGATCTCTGCTTACTACACATCAATCGGATATAGAATGATTACTGAGATTTTGATTTTTAACCTATTTCTCACTTCTTCCATGCTTTAGGGGTGCTGGCACGATCGAGAGTGCACTTGTTGCTAGTGCAATGATGAATGGTCTAGATAAAACTGCTCAACAACAACAAGCAACACCAAATTTACCCCATTACTCTATACATTTAGGCGATATTTACTATGTTGGTTTAAAAGAAGAGGTTGAACATTGCTGTTTAGGTGTTAAACCGCATTGGAGTGAACAAGGAGTGTTCTGGCCAATTGGGAAAAATGGCAGTTTTGCAATACCAGGCAATCATGAGTTATACAGCAGAGGATATGGATATTGGGATCATTTTCTGCCAAGTAAATGTATCTCTTTAATTCAATTACTTCTAACTAATTAGAATGTGTTTAGGATTAGGTTTATTTGATCCGACCGATTTAACAAAACCAATTCACTGTCAAAAAGCGTCATATTGGTTATTAGAAAATGACAACTGGAGAGTAATTGGATTGGATACCGGTTATGATTCGTATTCAGTAATTACGATCGATAAGTTCCCTATTAAATTACCACATCAATTAATGGATTGGCTTCAGAATGTAGTTTGTTTAAGTCCAACAATGACTGATAAACGAGGTCTACTATTCTTCTCACATCATCAAGTTATTAGTGCTTGGGGTCACGAGCCGCATTCAAGTAAGAGAACAATACACGACAACTTCTGCTAGCGTTTACACCAGATAAAAGTGAATAATGTTCAGTTATGATAGCATAAGGACTTATTTTTAATGAAAATTCAAACAATGTTTTAGAATCTCTAATAGCTCACATAGTACTTTGAATTTGACTTGATACCATTATGTCGTACGTAGGATCATTATTTCATTTTACCCTAATCATTTTTATTTTTTGAAACTTTTAATCTTTATGGTATCCATTAATCGAGAAAATATTCCTTTCTAACAGATTTTCCGGAACAACTGGCATCCTTACTACCACCTGGGCGAGTTGTATTGTATATGTGGGGTCATGAACACCGTTTATCGTTTTACGAAAAACAAGCAATACACCGGGACGGTAAAACACTGACAATGTATGGTAGATGTATAGGGAATTCGGGATTTCCAACACTAGTAACTAAATTACCGTCAAAAGCTCGTGAAACCAAGTTATTGTACTATGATGATCGCCTTTTTAGTATTGCTAGTAAAAATGCTTTTATAAATATGGCATTAGGTTTCAACGGTTTTGTGTCAATGAAATTTGTTAAACCAAAAGAAGAATTTAATAAAACAAGTTTGTATTTAAGTTATAAAAGTCTTGGTCTAAAAGCAGATGGTCAACTTACCGATGAGAATCCAGTTGAATTAGTTAGGGAAGAATGGGGTGTTGATTCCAATGGAAATGTCCTTCTGATTAAATTACAACCAGTTAACAAAGAATTAACGGAAAACGTACATGTAGGGAATGAAGACGATCAGCCGCTAACATTATTAGGATCATTACAAGCTCTTGAATCAAGTTATTGTACAACATTATGAAACCATTCACTTCTGTTCTTAGTTGTTTAATGTTATTTTATTTATTTTACTTTATGAAAAAAAAATCAGTGGCTTACAAAACGGATATCGATTTAAGCATTTACTACTAAAGAAACCGACTTCCGTACGTACAATAATTCAGCATTGAACATATATTGTCACAAACATATATTGTTACTTAAAACACACTTGACGGAACAGAGAGATAAAAGAAATGTTGTTGAATTCATTATCTTTTCCCCACAGAATGAAATAAATCATTTCATTCAAAAGAGTAATCGTATTTTTTAATCATATTGGAAGTGTAAAAGTTGAACAGATAGAAGAGAAAAGAAACATCAGTGAATAGCTTCCACATCGCCTATATGTACATCACTTCTTTCATTCATGGAGATTTGTCGTCCGCCCTAACATAAAATATACATTTAATAACACTACACCCGTTAAACCAGTGCCATGCCGATTTTACTAGATGATCTAAGCGCTAGTTAAAAGTTTAGAAATTAGCTAAATATAAAATTCAACCCAATTTATAAAAGTTCGGTGACTGAGCCAACCTCTGGTCAGATTTCTCTATTTGCCACTATACGCTGCTTGCTGTATAAATATTTGTAATGGTTTATCTTTTTTTTGGTGTACAAGTTGTGATCATAATTTATACCATTTAGATGACAAAAAGAGCCCTTTGACTTTAACTTTCATTCGATATGTTCTCTTTCATTGCCATGCAGCACAGCCATACGTTTGTGATTTCATAATTTTACAGAGCTGTTTCATAAACCCTCCAATGACTTATTGGATATTCAAACATCATCCAATGGTGTTTGGTTTCTTTTCAGAGTGTTCGAAAAGTTGCGAATGTTATTATACATCAAATTTCTGGACTTTAAAATAAGGTATAAATGAGCTTTTGAATATCTAAAACTGAGAGTTGTCTCATAAACATAGGAGACAAACGGTTGTTTTTATCACAGTAGTAGACGTATACGTCTGCTCCTATAGGAGCAGATTATCAAACTAAATAGAAAGTTTTAAAGGTACTACAGATGAAAATAAGTTTACCTGTTTACACATGCATAAGCCTTATGCCATTCACTCACATAGTCAGAATGATATTTGAAATTAATTAGATTCAACAAAATTATTCAAAATTGAGGAAATTGAATAGAAGTAAATTGAATGGATTTGAATTGTCCAGCTCTGCTACGAATGTTAGATTTTGATTTGAATTTATCATATTTTCAATTCAATGATTGATATCATCAATATTTTTCTTCAGTTGTTCTAAGTCACTTTTGGACACATCAAATTATTTTTGTATTTGTTTCAAACCACTATCACGTATGGTGGTACGTGGTCTCTTGACATGAAGCAGTGAGAGAACAGCCAATCAACAGCCAATGCACCTAAAAAAAGAGACTGATTTTTGCGGAACTTTATCTAGTACATATTATAGCTGATATCAAGGCCTTTTAGAATATATATTCGGAGTTCTCTCACCAGAAGCCGCTACTGAGATATCAGTGTTTTTCAAAAACTGTTTGTCATGACAACAGCGTTAAAATCCTTAGAGTTGTTGAAGTACTCTGTTAATATGCAGATTTTTGTCACAATTTTGGGTCTCCATATTATTATCCAGTCAAAAAAGAAATAATGGAACGATCTACAGGTTCTGAAAATGGCTCCTTAATCTCGTTTACTCATGTACGATCGATTTCTTGCAAAACACTGATATCTCACTAAACGGCTTTTGGTAAGAGAACTCCGAATATATATTCTAAAAGTTCTTGATATCCGCTATAATATGTACTGGAAAAAGTTCCGCAAAACTGAGTCTCTTTTTTTAACTTCAAGTGCATTGGTGAATATCCAACTGGCTTTTGATTATATGAGTCATCGTCGTGTGGCTACGTACCATGGATTGATAATTGATAAGAAACTTTTCTACTTCTTGCTTCGATTCTTGAATATCACCAAATATTCTATATTTTTGAGCAACAGCGAGTATTTCCTTGTTCAATCACATCAGATCATCGAAACGTGCACATTGATAATTTAATTTATCGATGAATACATCTTGTATAACAATTAAATCAATTGTTCAATGTAAATAATTCGTCAAACAGCTTTTTGACATTTGACTTCACGATTGATGAAAGTCAATTGTTTACTGCTTTTATGATGATCAATCACGTATTCTAGAGCATCTAATTGCTAATTAGAATTTGTGACTATATCTATGTGTTTAATTGATTCATCATTTTCTATTGGCACAGAATGTATTTTTTTCATTAAATTTTTTAGAGAAAAAGCTGATATTATTTTTTGAATCAGATCTGAAAAGATAGCGAAGAACTGACAGAGTTATTCTGTAAACAAAAGCTGGTAAAGAAAGGAATTCATTTAATTTTTTCTACAATTTTGATTCCGGAAAAAAACGTTTTTGTATTCTTTCGCCTAATTGAGCCCGGTTGTTTCCTTATGAAGACATCTGATATGTGTGAGTAGAAATTAAACGTACAAAATACTGAATGTGTTTCTTTCTACAGATTATTGCAGTAAATACCATTTTTTATCCGTTTCTACACAAAAACTGTGTCTATCGTACATTAACACGTAGAAATTGGCAAGGATATTTTATAGGCAAAAAACTGCATTGACCTTTTCAGCTGTATAATCTGTACCACAGACAATTTCGTTCGTGTGTTTTTCTAGTAGGTCAAATCTGTTACACAGCGATATTCATTTGACATTCTAGTACCAGTAGTATACACTGTTTTCATGTTTTAAGAATGTTATTTTTCCAGAATTATAAGATGATAGATGAGTAGCTTCTGCGACAGACATAGTTCACTCGTGCCTCAATCGAAAAGAGTCAGTATTTTTGCCGGACTATTCTGAGATGAAAGTTTTATCTCATCTCATCTTTAGTTCGAAAAATGTCATCCTGTTCGTACCGTATCAAGGATACTTTAAACAAATAATAAAATATAATTTTTCGGTTGTTTTGTTGCTATTATCAGTCTCGTTCTTTTTATTAATGTGTAAAAGCATGTTCCTATCATTCGCATGGATATATTTTTTATTTGTTTTTCTTTCCTACATCAAATTTATTCGACATTTAAAATTTCTCTACCATGTAGACATGTAATAAAAAGCAGTAGAATCATTTTACCTTTGAATGGAGCCGAGAGTTACCTTCAAAAAAATGTCGATTTCACCATGAATATCGCAAAGGTTTAAAATATACTATAAAATTAGCGAAATTTTCAGTCGCAGCATTCACTTCATTTTTCAAAATTGTTCTAAGATCTGCTGCTAAGCAACACCATTTGGTTGAGATAAATGCAAGGGAGAAAAGTGAACTCCAAGGGTCCACAAGAGACTGTGTGAAACTATTAAACTTAACGTTTTTCCAATGTCTATGCTCAGCTAATTCGTATTCGTACTACCAAAATAACAGCTGGGAATATCTAGCATACACTAACAGGTGTTGCAAAGAGTTCCTGGAAAAAATATCAAACATTATTTCTGCATGTTCACGATGTGTTGAAGAGTTAATTATTTTTTCGTTGGAAAAAGCAAAGTCTGAACTTCAAAGAACATAGAAAATAAAATTTTTTGTGATTGAGTTTGAGTGAGAAGAGATCTAAATACCAAACGTCGCCTAAAAATCTTTTCCAACGCACTTTTTCTTTAATTTTTTGCTGCAATCTGAGCAGAAATTTTTTTGAAAACTAAATCGAATGGATTTGCTATTTGATACCATCGGCAATTAAATGTAACAAGTGCAAAACTGCAGAAGTAACAAAAAAAATTCTAAATAAATAAAGTTTATACGTCAGCAATCACAACCATTACAGTGAATTGCTATTATTGATGTTTTAAGTTACTTATCCTTTTATTGATTCATCAACAAACGATTTATTCTTTAAGACAAAAACGCAAATATTGATATTGTTTCAAGTGTACTTGATGAGCTCTGTTTCTGCAATCGTAGAACAGAAAGAGAGCAACAGAGACATGTTGTAGTCTTCGTGGTCGGCGATAGTAAATAAATGCTGCATTATTATGTCGACATAAATGAAAGTTTCATTTTTACTGGTGTTGCAATCATTTTAAGAGAAAGTTAATGGAAAAAAAGTGTTGTTTTTTTCTTGATATATCCACAGCGTAAAAAGCAACTACTTACTACTATTTACTATTCACTATAAAAAATAATCTAACTCTAAAAAATAACCAGAGTCAGTGTTAATTTTGTCTGTATGAATCTACCTTCGAGAAGTTAAAAAGAAACTAATAAAACTGCACTGTTCTCCTGATATTCGGAACCACATCAAGAGAAGCAAAAGATCTGTTATGTGACTATCAGGAGTCGTCATGAAAACTCCATGGGATCTCAAGATACAAAGTTGTTTAAAGTATCCTTGAGACTTTACGGGCAAAATGGAAATTTTTGAACTGAGGATCAGATAGGACAAAAATTTCATCTCATGAAATTCCATCAAAAATATTGACTTTTTTCGATTCATGCTCGAGTGAAGTATATCTGTCGCAGATGTATTCAATGATAAATTAACGTATCAGTGCGCACGTTTCAATAATTTGATGCGATTGAACAAAGAAATGTTCGATGTTGTTCAACAATATAAATTATTTAGTCTATGTGATATGCAGGTATGACTCATTGTTTATTGTCCATTTGCAAAGCGCAGAGTGAAGAGATGATAGCAAACAGCTATGGGCAACTATCTATTATCAAATGAAAGCTACGTATGTATCCTGACTACAGCCTCAAAAACACTGAAACTTTGGCATTTGTTGTAGTGCCCCCCTTTCGGTTCGGAAAAAGCATTTATCATAGAGTGAAAAGTGAGATAGACCCTTTTCGAGAAAACGAATATACTACCTACCTGCATGTCAAAGAGGCCAAAATTTGATGTTTCTGGCAAAATGGACGGTAAATTTGAGAAGGAAGCACATTTTCAGATTGTAGCGGA